TTACTTGTGTTTAACTGCACGGTCATGATTTGCTAATTTGGTTATTATTTATTTAATTTGTTTACTTGTTTATTGATTTGGATTATTTTATTTTACTTATTTATCTATTTTTATTTTTCATTCATTTTTACTTTTCGATTTTTAAGTAACGTGGTAAAAATGTGTTTTCGTGCTTACATTTTGAAATGAGTTCTGAACGTATATTTAGTAATTTGTGTTGGTCTGGAAAAGTAATTATAGCTATTTTCTCCTCCAGACAGGGTTTACAGTTTTTGGATTTATTGTTGTTGGCTGGTACTGTTTTCCTTATTAGCCAATATATTTTTGGTGTAATTTGGTGTTTTTAATTTCTCATATATGTTTAGAAATCATTGTGCTGTTCGGTAATTTACAATTTGTAAAGAATATTTTGAGTGTGTAGTTTCTTCGTTTCCAGGGTCCTTCAGTTACTCCTATGTATATTTTTTTTTAATCTGCTGATTTTACAGTGGCTTGGTATATTACATTGTTCTGCAAGCAATTACCGTTTAAGGGTCATTCGTTCTTTGTTTTGCAGCTACACGTGGGTTTGATTTGTGCGGGTCGTTTGTTGTTTTCCTGTTGTATATTTTTATTATTTATGTCATGTTCTCGGTACATCTATAAAAAAATTAGAATATAACAGACCTAACCATAATATACCATCAACCAGCATATATAAAAATCGAGTCAAAGCACGACACACATGGCCTAAAAATTGCATTTAAGCATGAAACAGTTGAGCTCAATATCTACTTTTATATTTACATACGCTGTAACCCTGGTATTGAACACTTTAACCATTAACAATTTAACTACTCTAAACATTTTGTTCTGATCTGAAAAAAAAATATTTTTTTTTACTTGTACTTATTTTTGGGGATAAAACTTACTGAATTTTCAGTATTATAAGATTTATGAAAAGTTTTGGAAGCTAATGTTTCTGAAAAAATAGTAAATGAAGTCTCTCTGAATTATTTTAAAACTTAATGATAGTAATGATTTTAGACAAACAATAGAATTCAGTGCAATATCATTTGTTACAGTAGACAGATTTATTCTTCTGTTTTGTTCTCAGTTTCCTGAGGTTTTCTCCCGTCCGCCATGGATGACTCAGTATGGTAGTTTTCTAAGCGTAGCGTAGATGTGGCACAAGGCCGAAAGTGTGGAGCACCCAAGGAGAATCGAACTCACTACGCAGTCGTAATTGATCTAGCAAGATAACTTTGTTAACCATTACACCACATCGAAGTGCCCCATGGATGACTCATACGGAAGTTAACCTGGTCTTTCAGGCAACTTCTCAAAAAATAAGATCTCGAAAATAAATTTGGATGCCTACCATGGCACGATGACTAACAAGCTCGACTTTCAAACCAATTCGCTAATGAAATGAGTTCGGATCTCACTGACTGCCTCATGACTATGATTTTATGCCAGTTTAAGCTAGGCTTAATAAGTTAACTATAGATAAAAAAAAGTGAACTAACTCAGTGAGCCGCTCTACTTTGCTGTCATTCTAGCACTTGAAATATTTCGGCTTATTTATTCTCAATCTGCATACATTCAGTGATCGTCTTGAGTTTTCGAACACGATTTAATTCATCTTATTTTTGTGGTATGGATCGGTATTTTTGCTATTGTTTGGTAATCTATAACAAAAAATATAATATAATTTTATGTGTTTATCAACCACACAACCTAGTCTCACCTTCAAAGTAATACGATATTCTGTTGTTAAGAGTAGGTAATACTTAATGACAATAAGCATCACTCACACCTTTTATTCATTACTTTTATCACTCTGCTTGTGACTTCATTTGCTGTACAGAAAGCTTATCCTGCCATTGAAAGTGACCATGATTCCTGAAGAATAGTGAGTTTGAATTTCATAGTTGTGTTGTCATATCCTACTATGGAACATAAAACAAGTTTGAGTGAAATTAACATTAAGGATACTCCAATTGAGAGGCCTTGGAAAAGAATGCAGTGTAAAGGGAAGTAATATTAACAATGCAGAGTGCTAAAGGTTAAAAATAATTTTATCCTAATACAAGGCCCAAGAGCCACTCAAAGTAGAGGGTTATTAAATTGGGTTGTTGTATGAGTACTAAGAGGAAGAGGTGAGAAGTGCAGTTTATGAGGATATGGAGGGAAGTTTAACACTAGATTTAAAGACGATAAGATTGTCAGGATTGGGGAAGTATCATCTGCCTCCTGACCAATGGCGGGTCTTAGCTGTGAAGGTCTGAACTAGTGGAACAATTTAATGTAGCTCGTCAGAATGTTTGCCATGGAAATCGCAACAGATTAACGTCTTTTCGTCTGTGCAAAAAGGGTGATGTAGAGTAGACGCTTTTGAATTCTCTCAAAACTGGAAAGTGAAGACTGGGCAGCTTCAGCACATATATGATAAGAGTACTGCCTTGTACATATAGAGTATACTTACAAATATTGTAGAAAATCAGTGACGAGATCATGATCAAGATGACTGGCGGTAGGACAGAGTGGAGAGAGAGAGAGAGAGAGAGAAAAAAAAAGAAACTTTAATTCATACCGTTTTCTGAATTTTTGTCGAAAAAATGTGATCTCAGTAGCTTCGGCCAAATTTCGAATATGTCACTTAAAAAATAAACAGAATCCACCCTCGTTTATTTATTACCTCAGATATTCTGATATTCCTTTTTAAGAATAATGGGCGGTACTTTCTATGGATGGATCACTGGTGCCCAGGCAAATGACTGTACTAATTTCACCGGAGAGTGGGCATTGGAAGTCCCGAAGGCTTGGGTCTTCTGATTCTAGCAGGATTTTTTTTCTTTTATCTCCAGATTTGTGTTTAAACACACGGACCATTAAAAAGCCTTCTTAGTTTATCTCCAACTGTTTTCTACTTGAGTACCGTGGAGCCATTTCAACCTCTTTATTTCATGATAGCGTATCATATTCTAAGGACCCGTGTTTTTTTTTTTCATGCGAAAACTTTACAAACTTTACACGTGCCCACCCTACTTTACTCCTCTCTGCCACTTGTATCAGCAAATTACAGATTCTAGATAAAATTTTGATTTGCTTAGTAAATTGTTACATTGTGATTTGTATCCATAAACAAAGAAGTTGGATAGATTGGCTTCTAATTCAATTTTCATTCCAACCTCACTCTTCTCTCTCTCTCTCTCTCTCTCTCTCTTATATATATATATATATATATATATATATATATATATATATATATATATATATATATAAACGAGTTCAAAGGGTTATCTCAACGTATATACGGGCTTTTAAATTTTAGATGTTTCGCCTATGTAGCTTTTCTGTCATTGCAGGAATTTTATATCATAGATCCCGGCATCATATATGGAGTTGGATGCATTATTCTTCATAACTATATCCCTTGTCGTCTTGGGGGTGGTGGCAGGCTAAGTGTTAGGCGTAACTAGTTTGTTCTCAAATTTTGTTGTTAGACTGTTGGAAGGTAGGATCTATTAACAACATTTGAGAACAAACTAGTTACCCCAAACACTAAGATCATTACTACCACCTCCATGACGATCAGAGCCAGTAGCTCTTATAGCTCTTTCCAGTATTGATGAGGGTTTTTTTTATTTTTATTTTAATTTGAAGTGGAGTGGAATGGTAAAATCTTGATTATTCCATTATTTTCTCTTCTAGTTACATGTGCAATTCATTTTAGTTGTTGCTGCCATTGATAGTCCTTAATATGTTTTATGTTATTTGGTACAGTCATTTGATTGTGATTCTTCTATATAAGAAATTTTAAACCTAATTTGTGTATGTATGTATATATATATATATATATATATATATATATATATATATATATATATATATTGATAATATTACTGGTCAATATATATATATATATATATATATATATATATATATTGATAATATTACTAGTCAATATATATATATATATTGATAATATTACTGGTCAATATATATATATATATCGATAATATTACTGTCTCTCTCTCTCTCTATATATATATATATATATATATATATATATATATCAATATATATATATATATATATATATATATATATATATATATATATATATATATATATATATATATATATATATATATATATATATTGATATTGATAATATATATATATATATATATATATATATATTGATACTGGTAATATAATCCATTGGTCAATATATATATATATATATATATATATATATATATATATATATATTGATATTGATAATGCATTTCATCTTCATGGCTGTAATCTTGTGTGAGATTAAAGGCAAATTTGGTCAATTTTTATGAAAAATCCGGGATAAAAAAATTAATTTCCGTAACCCATTATAAGTGATTTTTTTGTGAAGCTACCAATCCTGTAGCCTTATATAAACTTCATAAATTCATGCTAAGTTAGTTATTTTCCTCTCTCTCCCATATCAACCGCATGTACTTTACTGAAAGTTTTTTTTTAAATTCTTCACTGCCGTGTCGCCTTCTTCTTTTCACTGGACAATTAATTATCATACGATTATTCATTATAACAATACAAAAACAAGTCATGGATTTAATTAAATATATTAGCAATGGCGAAACAATGAGAAACTAATTACCATATGCATTATTCAGATTTACTTAAGTTCGCACTTTCTTTACGTTTTTTTTCCTTTGTAATTTTAGGTTTGGACTTGAAAGCTAAAAAAAAAAATAAGGCTTATGGTCATATCACGTTGAATGAACGAAGTTAAGTAACGTCGAAACTAGTCAGTACCTTGATAGGTGACCGTTTGGGAATACTAGAAGATGTACGTTTAGATATGCGGGTGGGCTTACGGCCATATCACGTTGAAGCATTAGTTTCCCGTACAATCACCAAAGTTAAGCAACTTCGAACATGGTCAGTAACTAGATGGGTGACCGCCTGGGAATTCTAGTAGATTTACGCTTGGATGTGCGGTGGGTATAATGGGCTTACGGCTATATCACGTTGAAACACCGGTTCTCGTACAATCACCGAAGTTAAGTAACGTCGAGGATGGTCAGTACCTAGATGGGTGACTGCTTAGGAATACTGGGCGCTGTAAGCTTGGATGTGCGGTCGGTGTAATGGGTTAATGTCATATCATATTGAAACACCGGTTCGCGTAAGATCACCTAAGTTAGGCAATGTCGAGTCTGGTCAGTATCTAGATGGACGACTATTTGGGAATACCAGTCGCTGTAAGCTTGGATGTGTGGCTTGGATGAAGTCGAAGAACGGAGTTCCAATTCCAGTCAGGTTCATTATATTCACTTACGTGGAAATACCATTGGAAAAGGTACGAATCCACCTCTTCCACCTAACTATGGGGTAATTAGTATAACTTGTATCAATAAATATCATTATGATCTCCAAGACTTCTTACGATCTAAAAATATTTTGTGACTTTAAATAACCTGCAAAAGGTTGATAAGCCATAAAAAACAAATTATTTAATTAATTAAAAAATAAAATAAGATAAAATATATAAAATTAAAAAAAGAAATTATGTGCGTTAAATTTAAGTATTGTTTATTAATGTTTATATATATATGACCCATAAAACCTTTTCTATCTGAAATATCTAAAACAAACATCTCCTGGGTCTTATATGTAAAGATAGAACTCATTTAAGTGGCTTATATATGTTAAATACTGTAGACTAATTCTGTTTGTGTCCTACCTAACCTAACTCTAAAACTCATGGGTTTACGTCCATATAACGTTGAAACATTGGTTCCTGTATGATCACCGAAGTTAGGCAATGTTGCGTCTGGTCAGTACCTAGATGGGTGACTGTTTGGGAATACCAGGTGCTGTAAGCTTGGATATGTGGGTGGTGTAATGGATAAAGCCTCGGAATTGTTAATCGAGTTCCAATTCTTGTTGGGTTTGTTATATTCACTTCCGCACAAATACCATTGGGAAAGGTATAAATCTGTTCTCCCCCTCCCACACACACCCCAGTTATGAGTTAATTAGTAAAACTTGTATCACCAAACCATTATTATCTCCCCCCCTCAAATTCTTATAATTAAAAAAAAAACCCAAAAAACTCTGGCTTTAAAAAACCTGTAAAGTGTTGATAATCCGTAAAAAAAGAATCATTCAATCAAAAAGCAAAACGCGTCCTATGATATTAAATGCAAATGGGTGAAGAGGTTATTACGATATGAAATACGGTAGTTGATAAATTATTAGGATATTAAATACGGGAGTTGAGAAATTATCATTATTCTTTATTTCAAATCAAAACTCCTTACTAACGTTGAACGGTAGAATGACGACCTGGAAATTATAATAAAATTAAAATGAAATAAACACTAGTCAAAAATTGATGAAAATAATTATTTTCAAAGAAAATTTTAAAAAATAACAAAATAAAGAAAATTTAAACTTGCTGAGATTACAACTAAAATTACTGTTTCAGAGCCCTCACCCACATGCAAAATTTTTTAAATTTCTAAAGCTCTCATTACAATACGCAACATTTTTTAAATTTTTAGATAGCCACATCTCCCTATAGACAAAAGGATTTTTTAATATCAATTAATTATCTGATTTTATCTGTTTTTTTACTGTTGTTTTTCAATTAAAGCTGAATACCTTAAATTATTAAATAACACTGTTTTCATGTAAATTCATGGGTTTATCCAACTAAGATCATGCATCATCTCATACCCCTGTATTTCTCTAACCATTTACCTGTATCTTTTCAATCTCTAAACTATCCCTTCCAATACAACTAAGATTACCCATTATCCCATGACTCCGCTCTTCTCTAACCCTTTACCTGTATCTTCTCATCTTCTTCCTTATCCTTTCCACTACAACAAAGATTACTCGTTATCTCATCATTCTGATCTTCTGTAACCATTTGTCTGTATCTTCTCATTCTCTTCCTTATCCCTTCCAGTACAACTAAGATTATTCATTATCTCATGGATCTGTTCTTCTCTCACCCTTTGCCTGTATTTTCTCATTCTCTTTCTTATCTATGTTTTTATCTAAAGCTGATAAAGAGATTAGTTTTATATGTAAAAAAGGAATAAGGAATATTTTCTATTGTCTCCTCTCTTTTATCATTTTTTTTTCTCTATCTCACCATTAAGAATTTGAAGCCATCACAATTTTTATGCTTTTTCATTTCAATTATTCACTCATTGTCAATTTATAACTAGCTAGCTACCACTTTTTTTTTTCGTTTGTATCCGTTCACGCTAGGTAATATATAACCTTGGTGATGTGGTTTATAATTAATTCTGTAGAAAAGACCTTATGAGGTTGCATAATTTTGGAAAGAGTGTATTGTTCGGAATAAAGCATAGGACAAGGTTCAGGAGTTGGCAAAACACGGAGTTGTAGATCTGTTGCTCCTTGCATCTATGGGATATATTCGTGGAGCATTGAAAATGGTTCTGCAATATGGGTCCTTATGGAATAATATCCAATTGTTGGAAAGTGCTTAGGAAGAAAATGTCCACTCTTGCCTTTACACAAGTTTCTCTATGTTGATTTCGTGTTGTCTTCTTGAGTGGAGTTGAAGTGCGTCGAGGTGAAATCCAAAATGCAAAATCCATTATAGAAGAGAAAGACTGCCTGCGTATGTTTCTTACAAAATGCGCGTATAATGAAAGAAGTTCGAAAAATCTTATTATTATTAATAATAATAATAATAATAATTATTATTATTATTATTATTATTATTTCCTTTGATTTCTGGTGTATACACATTTCTTTCCGGGTCCCGCCCAGAGACTTAAGTTCAGAAATGGCGTCATAACATTTTCCACTGACGTAATTAAAACACACACACACACACACACACACACACACACACACACACACACACACACACACACATTTTACAAAGATAAAGCCCTTCGTAAGGTGTAGGCTGTAGTCGTGAGAACAATTTTTTGTATTTCTTTAAAGCATGGGCTTCCAGGAATCCCTTCAATGAGTCTATTGGAATCTTTTCCAACCAATCCGAGGGATCCAACTGCAACTGTGATTGTTGATGTTCACATGTGCCACACTTTTGAGATTTCGATTTCAAGGTTATTGTATTTTGATAGCTTTTTGAAGATCTTCAAAGATACATTGCAGTCTGCAGGGATTGCTATATCAATAAAGAAGTACCCTTTTTGTGTGCGATGTCTAATAACAATGTCTAATAATAATAATAATAATTCCATTTGACAAAATAAAAACAATGAAAGAAATGATAAAAATCAGATTTTTAGGATATGCATGTGTTCTTTCTCAGTGAAAAATAAATTTTAAAAAAAGCTGAACTTATATATGTCGGCCATATCGACGTGGTGTAATGGTTACCAAACTTGAGTGAGTTCAATCCACACTGGATGCTCGATACTTTCAATCTTGTGCCACATCTAATCCCAGTAAGGATTGAACTCACTACTCAGCTGTAATTGATCTAGCGAGACAAGCTAACATTACACCACATCGAAGAGCCATATATATTCAGCTTTTTTTTACTATCTACCTTTCCTTCTTTTTTCCCTCATCACCGTTTCTCTTCCTGCTTGGTGTAAATTATGCAGGTTTCTCGGCCAGACAAACATAACTGATTCCTGCTAAGAAAGGTCAGGAATCAGGCAGATACTACACTCTGATCCCTGACAGAAATGTCTAACGGTCGTAGAAATGAACACGACAAATATTAGTATAGATTCCCAGCGTTATTTGATCTTTTCTATTCTATCGATTTGAACACAAGGCCATGACAGAACGCTCAGTGAGGAACTAACTTCCAATATCCTGCGACACAAAACTGTTAATGATTGCTTTACGGTCGGTGCTCACATAGATATTGATTTACCTTAGTCAGATACAAAAATACGAATTCACCGAAGAAAACAAAAAAATTGTTGTATTATTTGGAGGATTGGCGCAACACAATCTTTCTACTCTCATTTGTGTTTATTTGGCCTCATGAGGAATTAAACTAAGCTGTGGCGCCTACTTGGCGAGTCAGAGAGTTGAGTATTCCCTACCAATTGCTGATTTTAAAGGCAGGCAAGCATTTCCTGCTTAAAAGATTGGCGCAATACAATCTTCTTATCTCAACGTACTCAGTTAAGTATAGCAAATGTCAGCGGATTTTATTTGGTTAGAGAGCTGAGTATTTTCTGCTGGCGCAACCTAATCTTGTTAGTTCGTTTGGCTTTCTGCTTTATTTAGCTCGGTTTAGTAAGACATGCATTGCCAGACAAATTAGTTTTTCAATTGCCCGGTTTAAGCATTCGATATTCGGATTGATAGAAAGTTCCACGTCTGTATTTTAATCTGATTACTATAATATTTTGGAATGAAACTTACAAAAAAAAATTTTTTTAAAATACACTAACCGTGAAATCAGAATCAATCTTATTTTTCTCCTTCACTTGCTTTCTTTCTTTTTCTTCTTTTTTTCCCGCATTCTAATCGTATGATGTGCGCTCAAACCGACGAAATATTTTCCTGCTTCAAACAGTTGTTGAAATAAGAAACTGGAATCGGACTTCAGATGTATTTTCTTTCACGCCTTATTAATTGGAACCTGGTATTGGGGAACGAGAAAGAAAAAAAGAATTTCAAGATTTGTAACTTCAAACAAAAGAAAAGTGTTTTATAGCAGCAGACGTACTATATTTATGTATTTTTTTATTAGATAAAACATTGTCAGTCATTATTATTAATTTTTGACTAGTATTTACTTTCATCTTCATTTTTTATTCGACAAAGCATTGTCAGCGATTATTATTAATATTTAACTACTATTTACTTACATCTTCATTTTTTTTATTAGATGAAGCATTGTCAGCGATTATTATTAATTTTTGACTAGTATTTACTCTCATCTTCATTTTTTAGTTTATTCTCATGCAAATTTTAATCAGATCAACATTCTACAAAAGTGTGCAGACAACCAATTAATAATAATCGTTAACAATGTTTCAGCTAATAATAAAGAATAACCGAACAGGTTAACCTAACAGACGAGAACAACGAGATATCCCTAGATATAGACAACGGAACAAGAACAATCTTGGTTCCCCAGATTAAATAAAGCGTTCGGCTTGAGATTCTTTAAAAGTTATCTGGATTAACCTACACCTGAAAAAGGCCAGAGAGCACAACGATTCAAATTTTGTGACAGTAACAATGATGAGTATATTAGTTCGATTGTATATTATATTTAAAAAGAAAAACAAAAAAAACTTTACCATTTTTATAATTTCTCTTAACCTTTAGCAAAGACGAAAATATAAAATTTGGTTATCTGTGTATTTATACACAGTGACAAGAGTTATACTTTTTGCATAAAAAATAATGCTTGTCGTTTATTATCAATTTTGATTAGTATTTACGTTCAAAATATTTATTTTAAGTTGCTTTTTATTCCAACGATACTCAGACCGGCAATCTACGGCAGTGAATAGGCAATACAGAGCTGGAAATAAGGATTCAACCACAAATCTCTTTGCTTCTGGGAAGATTGGTGAGCACAGAGGTGCCTTAAATGCTAAGCTACGAGAAATTGACAGCTTGGAGAAGATCAAATCTAGCCTTTAAGTCATAATTCCACTTCAAACCCTCACAAAGGCATATTTATTCTCTGGTCTTTACACTAACAGCATTAGTAACAGCAGTATTCCATTTTTTATTCTTTATTAGATGACGCACCGTCAACCATTATAATTCGTTTTCGCCCATTTTCTATCCTGTGTTGTTCACTTACTGATTGTCTGTTTGAGTCAAATTTGCGTAGAACGAAACTTTAAAATTAAGATGAACTTGAATACTGGTAAGGCTTACGGTCCGATCACCGAAGTTAAGTTGAGCCTGGTCAGTACCTAAATGGGCGACTGCTTGGGAATACCAGGTGCTGTAAGTATACGAACACCCATCGGCGATCATGAATCGAAAAGAGACATGATCGCCCAAGCGTGTCACACCCGCCTCTAGCAACACGCATTGGACTAGTGCGGTAGGGTAATGACCCATTCTTCTCCATGAATCTGGGGCAAGACCTAGGTCCAATAAAGGACTTTCGCAGGAGGAGGAGGAACACAGGTAAAAATGAATGCTTTTCCGGGACTGAGAAAAGGTATGAATGTATTGAAAAATAATATCAGAAACGAAAAATGTGTTATGTCTAGGGCAGTGAATGTTTATAGACAATTTTGTCACAAATAAAGAAAGAACTTGAACCTAGAGAAATGTGGTTTTACGGACGAATGTTGATTATACTGTGGGTAGAGAATGTAATCAATGAAGAAGTCTTAATGAGAATAGGAACTACAAAGAAAATGACAAAGAGGCATTTGTAATTTGATGTACACCGAATGAGACAGGTAGGTTTGAAGAATTAACACACACACGGCGCATCGAAAGCAGGGAATAGCACCGGGAAACTAACTTGGCTACTTTAAGCAAATATATGGAGGAACAAGTACCACAAAGGGTATCGTAAAGGATAAAGATTCATTCAAGGTATTAAAAATGCTAATTGCACAATTAGAGTGATTCTTGGATGTAAGCAGCAAAGATTCGCTTAAAATGTTTCTGAAAACAAAAAGCAAGTCGTGAAAAACCCTGATCCAAAAAAAAGTGAGATCCATTCAAGGCATTAAAAATGCTTACTAATTGTCCAATTAGAGTAATTCTTGAATGCAACTAACTGTTTGGTCACAAAGTAGTCTTATTGATTATTGTTAATAAATAGTGGGTTCAAATCTCAATGGATGCTCAGCACGTTCGGTCTTTTGTTGAGCTAAGTTTAGTAAATGATTCATATTCTACGTAATATTTTTATTAGGTAACTTTTTTGTCAAGTTGAAATTAGATTTTAAAATCTGCTTTTTTTTCTTTAAGGTGTGGCTTTTTGGATTTTCTCTGAACAAAGCAGATTTTATTTCTTTGGACTGCTGTGTAAGCTAATGAAAATCTCAAATAACTGATAACAGCATTTCAGATTCTTTCAGTCTCTACGTTATCTGATAAAGATTTTTGTAGACAATTTTTTTTTTTTTAGAATTTCAGAATAAAGCGCGCTTTCTCTTAATGTCTGATTTATAAAATATACCTTATTTTTTTAGATGAATCCAATCTGGTTCAAACTTATTTTTATAGACCAACAAATGATAATCGAGAGACTAGGATAATTTTTTATGATAGTTAAGTGCTAACTCCGTCATGTAACTTTTTTGTCGAAAATGCCGTGCCTCTACAGGACGTAGGCGATCAAGGTTCTCCACAATTCCTGTCCTTTATAACTTAATAATTTTTTTTTTTTTTTTGTTATGTTTCCAAAACCTTGTTCGGTCATTCATTTACTCAAGGTCGCCAGGTAGATTACTGTTGTTTTCTTCTATCTCTCTTGCGTTTAATATGTCCTCTGGATATCAGATTTTCCAAACCTTCTTTCCTCATTCTATACCCAAGAAATTTCAACTGCCTCTTCTCTGTGTTACGTGTAAGTGTCCTTTTTGTTTCCATTTTCTCTAAACCTTCGTCGTTGCTCACATGTTCAGTTCCTAATATTCCCAGCATCCTCTGTAGAACCACATTACTACTACTCGGACAGCTGTTCCCCAGGGCTGGGCACTTCCCAGTATAGTTTTCCTCAGTTGCGACTCTGTCTGACGGAGTCGCCCCTGAGTGCACTCTGCCCAAAGACAGAGACGCAACTGAGGGATGATAAATAGGGTGTTACAAACCACTCGAGAGAGCGGGTTACACATTAAGAGAGCTGTTTACACATACGATTTTTTCTTAGAAAAATGTAACTATTAGCATTAAAAAAAAGACAGAATGATCAGCCGTCGACTAAAGAGACAGCCCAAAATGTTAGCTACAGAGTGGAGACATCAGAATTAAGCAGGTACAAAAGTTTAAATGTCTGAGTAGTGCCGTGTCAGAAGACGGAAAATATTGATTGACTGAGTGATTGGTTTTGTACGGTTTATCTACCGGTTGCAGGTTATTTAAAGCCAGAAAATATTTTTAGAATGTAAGAAATTTTTTTCTTTTTAGATAATAATGATTTAGTCATACGAGTCTTATTAATTAACCCATAGCTGGAGGGGGTAGAATTGGATTCATACCTTTACTAAGAGTATTTGCGCGTGAGTGATATAATGAACCCAACTGGAATTAGAACTCGGCTCTCTGATTTCCAATTCCGAGCCATTATCCATTACACTACCTGCACATCAAAGCTTGCAGCACCTGGTATTCCCAAGCGGTCACCCATCTAGATACAGACTAGGCTCGACGTTGCTTAACTCCGGTAATCGTAGGGTAACCGGTGTTTCAATGTGATATGTCCGTAAGCACGGAAAATGAATAGTGGGGCACGCCTCACAGAGGCTAAATAAATTTAATTTCTTTGTTAGAAACAAAGATGGCTATATAATATTTATACTCCTATATGACAGTGAATTCGTGAAAATTTCCTCGTTGATGAAAATGATACTTGAAGTGACAGGGATATAGTTCTACAGAAGGACTATGAGAATACCAAACAAATTTAGCAACGATGCGGTTTTAAGACCAATGGGAACAAAAAGAACGCTTATACTTACAATCAGAAAGAGCCAGTTGAAATTTTAGGGACACATAATGAGGAAGAAGGGCTTGGACAATTTAACACTCACAGGATATAATGTGTAGCGATATCAGTTGTCAGCTGATATATTGTTAAGCACACATCTGGGGGATGCTAGAGAAATCATATTGACAATTATTATCTTGACAAAGAAGGTCACCTGAGTGGAGCGTACCTCCCAAGAAACAGGTTAACCGACCCTAACAAGAAAGATTATTAAGCTGATTAAGAACTAGATGAACAGACCCTGAGTTCTTGATGAATGACTCTTTTAGATGAAAGTAGACAGGACAAAGAAGACTAGTCCTCTATAAGGCAGTGATCCCTAACAGCCTAAAACAGAGGGCCGCTGGACCGCTACTCGAAAGGAAAGCACACACTGGTTAGACTGTCCTCCCATCTCAACTACAACCGACCCTTACGAGAAGGGAGCAACTGAATAAAATTTGCCGACTGCTACAATTTCATCTCGTGTTTTTTTTTTTGTTTTTTTTTTTTTGTTTTTTCTTGAGTAACGATCCGAACAAAGAATTATTTTCCTTGTATTAAGCCACAGGTGTTTGACTAGAAGAATTTTCACCCTGGGAACGAATCTTCTGCCTTGTCTAAGCTGTAAGGCTACAAAGCAAAGGGTAACGGCAGCTAAGCTACCTAACGAGATAAGTAAATAGATGAGAAAGAAGCGGCTGCGAAGTATGGTACGGGGATAAGGGTTACTTGGAGCTACAAAGATCCGGAAGCCGTAGAGAGCCATGATCACCCATCTCCTGAAACGACGTATAATATAAGAATAACCTGACAAAAAACTAGGAAAAATAACAAGTTGGCAGATGTTTCTGCTCTAAAAATTCACTATGGTTCAGGCGTGACTAGGTTTGATTGTAAATGCCGGCTCTGCTTTTTGAAAGAATACGATACAAAAGCAGCAGTGGCGACAGGACGGATAGACGGACGACTTGAAGATAAGTTATTTGTAACTTGAGAATTCTTTTGAATAGTACTAACGAAGATGTGGAGATGAGAAGTGAGAAACAGTGTCTGGAGAAAGCAAGATGGGAAAGGAATTTTCAGACTCGGTTTTGATGCTGAAAGTTAATCTGAAAAGACGAAATAAAATATCTCTTCATTCATTTTTTTCTTAATCGTGTTCAAAATGGAAGAAGCTTACAATGGGCGATTATCATAGCTGTCGACGCTTGTTGCTGTTAGCCTCGTTTTGAAACGATTGCAGGTTGTTATTTTTATACCCTGTCACAAATAAGCACAAGTGTGTATTTTTACATGGGAATAGGAAGTGTATGCGTATGGTCTTGCCAAGAAATTGACACTTAAAAAGCTATAGTACTGCCTTTGTTATATATTTTATGTATTTATTATTTTTTATAACCTGTCAGAAAAAAAGCGTCGTTCATGATCAAGGTCAAATTTCGATCGTAAGACGAAAATTTTATAGACTCGTTATCTTTAGTCGAGTTCATTATATTCACTTAGATCTCTATGGAATTGGCAGAATTCGTTGCCGAGTATTTCCGTCTGTACAAAATGAGCCCTCTTTTGTCTCTGATGTGACGTCCACGGCCACTGCATGGTAGAGTATGAGGGTTCAGGGAATGAAGAGCTATGGCCTTTTCCTTAGGCTCTCTTCGTCTCTTCTATTTGTCTTCTGGTGTTTTCGAAGGGGTTCTTTTTTCATGGATTGTTTTTCTTCAGTTGGTTCTTTCTGCAGCTTCCGTACCCCAATTTATAGGATCGATTTCTGTCCTCGGCAAAGTGTTTTTTTTAGCTGATCCTTGAATCGACGATGTGAGGCTCCACGTGGTCTCTTGCAGGAGGTGCGCTATGAGATTAGGATTTTTTTTTTTTTTTTGTGTGCGTGTGTGTGTGTAGGCGGATATCTGGCATTCGGACTGATACCGTTGGGAAAGGTATTAATTCATCTCTTCTTCCCACACTCACAGATATGGGTAAATAGAAAGACAGACTGGGTGGCAGCCGGTCTAGTAGGAGAAATTCTGAATTCAAAATCCGCCTGGAGTGGGTTAGGCTCCGTAAGGCTATCTTGCCCAGGAAACATTACTGCTACTCTAGTACATGTGGTACCTCTGCGACCACAAAGGGTCCTATAGCCTTGGGTTGCAAACCACGTCTAGGAAAATAAGAAATTCGTAATGCAAGATCATCCTGGAGTGGGTTAGGTTTCGTCAGGCTATCTTGCCCAGGAAACACTACTGCCACTGTAGTACATGTGGTGCCCCTGCGATCCTTGGGTGGCAAACCACGTCTAGGAAAGAAGAAATTCTGATTTCAAAATCATCCTGGAGTGGGTTGAGTTTTGTCAGGCTATCATGCCCAGGAAACACTACTGCCACTGTAGTACATGTGGTGCCCCCTGCGACCCTTGGGTGGCAAACCACGTCTAGGAAAAGAAGAAATTCTGATTTCAAAATCATCCTGGAGTGGGTTGAGTTTTGTCAGGCTATCATGCCCAGGAAACACTACTGCCACTGTAGTACATGTGGTGCCCCCTGCGACCCTTGGGTGGCAAACCACGTCTAGGAAAAGAAGAAATTCTGATTTCAAAATCATCCTGGAGTGGGTTGAGTTTTGTCAGGCTATCATGCCCAGGAAACACTACTGCTATTTCTGATGCAGTACATGTGATGTCCCTTAGACCTTAAAGGGTTACTGGTCTCATGATCTATAGAACCACATCTTTTTTATCGTAAGTCTCTTCTTCCCCCGAGAGAAAATTATCTAATATTTACCGCCATATAAGAAGATTTATATTAGATACCAGTTCAGCACACTTTTCTTTGTCTCTAACGAAATTTTCCTGTTTCTTAATACTTTGCTTAACTTTAACATAAGATATAACATTTTTAGAAAACTAGCCTTCAGGCTACCAATTTCGTCTAATTAATTGAATCTTCCATTCCAAGACATTCTTATATGCATAAACCTGCCACTGATAAAAGGGGAAGGAGGAAGAAGTAAAGAGGACGGAAATATATATTTTATGTAAATGGGAAAAATTCCGAATTCAAAACCATCCTGGAGAATATGGGGTTCCGTCAGACTATTTGATTCAAGAAACACCACTGCTACTGCGACTGCAATATATATGGTGCCCCTACGCCACTAATGGTTTAAGGGTCTCCTGATCGTTATTTTCTTAATGGTTTTTAAAGTTATGAGATTAAGTCTTTCCATTATTCCGTCCATTATTTCAGTGACGTAAGCACAGTTTCAAACTTGGTATTTGTAAATAAAAACAAAGTAAAGATAACTCTTTTAAAATTCCAGGGGTTGATTTGATACTGTCTTTATATTTACGAAAAGGATCAGCCACTTCCAAAATGGTAAAATTCAATATTTTTTTTCATTCTGACAAATTTCGTGGTTAATGAAGGCTCTAATCTTAATCTACTAAAATTATCCCAACAAAAAATTATTTTCTGTTGATTTTTTAATTATTTTTAATGAGTTTTTTTTTAATATTTTTTTATTATTATAAAATATATATATATATATATATATATATATATATATATATATACAGTTTTGATTAAAAAGAATCAACAAGGTCTGTTTAATTTTTTTAAATATATTCCAGGTTTTCGATAAGGTGTTGAGTATTGTGTTCGAAGTTGTGGATAAACTGTCCGAAATTCATATTTTGTTATTGTTTGGTTCAAGTATTTTGGACCATCGCAGTCATTATCAACAAATATGGGGTCTGTGTGTTAAGTACAATTCTTTTGTTTACATTTTGGTATTTTTGGAAAGCTGGCAGTTTGAAATAGTCTACAGTGACATCATATGTAACAGTTTTGGGGAATGAGGACGCACCAAAAATAATGCTATTTAATTTATTTTGTGTATTTTTTATATTTATTTATTTTTATTTTTCTTCTTTTTTTTATACTAATAAATTAAACAGACTATGCTTGTTCTTTCTAATCAAACCTGTTTGGATGAATACTTGCTGCCTAAAGATACTTTGTTCACACACACACACACACATGAGGCCATCAGTGTATGAATTTTTGGGACTTATAAACTTAATATCTCAGAAACCACATTTTACCAAATAATTACAATACCTCCTCTCAGAAATATATGTGTGTGTGTGTGTGTTTGTGTTTGTGTGTGTTATTATTATTATTATTATTTTATATGCAAATATGAACACAATTAGACTTAAATTTGTATGTGTGTGTTGTATGTGTGTGTTGCCACGATGTTTTCTCTGGTCAGGTCAAAGGGGGTCAGTTTAGGTCACAGTGTCAGAAACAAGTTCTGGGGTTAGCAACCAGACATTAAAGAAGATTATAACTTTAATCTCCTTAATCGGGGAACTGATAATACAATTACCATTTGACTTCTTTTATCAGATCAACTTTCGAAATAAGCCGACATTCAAAATTATGTTTTACAGATTAGCTTTATCTCCACCTGACACACTCGGCTTGTAGATAAATAAATAAATAAAAAAATGCAGAGTCAACTGTTAAAGATTTGTTACGTGAACGCTAAAAGTCAAAGTTCGGTTAAAACAGTAAAACAAAAACTTGCCCGCCCATGTTGGCGAACAATTTCCACGCGCCACAGTAGACATAAGCTGGATGGATGTCCGCTTCATTTTTTTTTTTTTTTCATAAAATGTTTTCTTAATTTGTGTATAAAATTGCAAAACGAAGTTGTTTCTTTATTCCATATAATATT